TTTTTGTTTACAAATCTTCATTACATTCCAAGGCTACGGTTCCCTAAGTGCGTGCCGTCTCTAATCCACCATCGGATACAGAGCAATTTGTAGCATCTGACGGTGACAATGAGTTAGACACAGCAGCCAAAGACACATCAAATCCACACAGAAAGAAAATCAAAAACAACCATCCATTATCCATTCGCTTTTGGCTTTAAGGTTAAAGTATTTGACAAAAAGTACGGACATGGCTGCTGCGGCTCCCAAGAAACAAGATGACAAGTTTCTGCTGGTGCTGCGAGAGTTGGTGACATATGGTGGTGGCAATCGGCAATGCTTCGACTGTGGCCAAAAGGGTCCAACATACGTCAACATGACAATTGGAACGTTTGTATGCACACGATGTTCAGGAGTGCTGTAAGTGGAAATTAGAAGTCATTTACATACATACATACATACATTCATATAGCTCATTAAAATACTATCCCAACTAAAAAAAAGCATTTTGATATGAGTTTATGAGGAAATTACATGAGTCCATTTTACAGGCAATTTTTAGCTAAATGTAGCCGTTGTCTGGTGTAAATGGCCTTCCGACAAATCGCTTTCAATGAAGTTGGCCAGCTGCCTACTTTCGTTCAACTTTTGGTTGAACTAATCGCCTGTGAGAGTTGAATCATGTAAATGAACATTTTGATCTTTATAAACACACTGAATGTCCAGTCGCCACTATTGACTCACTAGTAAAATGTATACGCTTATTGTTTCATGAAAATTATATCACTATTTCACTACTACATTTAATATTTACGACTGTCAAGTTAGCACTACACTTTTCGAAATTGGTAAAGCTAACTATGGCATTAATAGTTGCTTTTTTTGTAAATTTGTTGTAGGAAAAAAAAATTTGTAGCTCTAATCCATGGCGCAATAAGCAGGTGAAGTAATAAAACCGCTTTCTTGCTTTGTTTTCTGACATTTAGCTGCCTTATAGTCAAATTTTAAAGGCGATTTTTCAAATAAAGCAGTGTCAAAATCTTTCTTCTCGCTCTAATTACTTCACCTGGTATAATTCCGCCATGACGTGTGTCAAGTTAGCACTACACTTTTCGAAATTGGAAAAGTTAACTACGGCATTAAATGTAGTGTTTTTGTTGTAAATTTGTTGTGGAAAGAAAAAATTTGTAGCTCTCGTTTTTTAAGAAAAAATGGTATGTAGTGCTACTTGACACCATACACCTAGTCGATAGAATTGAGATATTGAAAATGTTATAACGGCATTAATTGTAGCTTTTAACTTTAAAATTTGTTGTGGAAAGAAAAAATT